TTGGTTTGAGCTTGACTCCAAAGGTCAAAAATATCAGGAGGTCCCAGGTTCAAATCCAATGATGAATAAAAGTCCCCTTGTATCCACGGAGGTTCAAATGCGGTAACTCCGTACTATATGCAAAGCAGGTGGTCGCCCTGAGATTAGTCGGCTCACATAGCGGGTTGGATATCCAGGTTAATAAAAAAACGATTATATGATATTTAAAATCATTAAATAACTTTTGGAGACAACTTGTCTAGTTCTGTCTCATCCAGTCCTAGTCCTACCAAACATCAGACAGACTTTTGTTTTGTCCAGTCCTGTCTCGTCCAACCCTCTCGTCCTGTCCAATTCAGTCATGTCCACTCATATATGTGTACCAAACGCTACCTTAGATTTTTTAAACTTCTCGCTATTATATTTACCAAACTAAGTTTACCCTTTTCCCCATGTAGCGAGGAATCTTTTTCCTTACCTTTTCTTTATTTCGACAGAAGTTGATTATCGGTAGTTCTAGTCAATCCATACGAAACCAAACTCTAAAGACATCAATGTGAAAGAGTATTTTTTTTTACTCACTCAATGGTTGAGGCTAGCAGGAAGCACTGTAATCGAACATAAGACATGTCTTGTATTTGATCAAAGTCATCATATCCTTTTGCAAACTAAGCTACATGTCAGATGCTCTTTATTGTTTAGATATACGTATTACGTGGAACCGTTTAGGTTGCCGATAATCAACTTTTGTCCAAATTATTTAGATATAATTATATTATTTTTGAGTTACTTTAATACATTATAATAAAATTAACATAGGAGACATAAAATTGCAATAATACATATAAATAAACTAAAGTTCGTGCATAGAGAAATATATTTGATTTCTCATATATGAAAATCCAAACTATTTAAATAATTTAAATTTCAGTAAAGTTAAGTTTTCACTGATTACAATCTAAATAAGGGGCCGTTTACAAAAAACTTACCAATAAGTGTTTACCGGTAAAATTCAACACTATTAGTTACTTATCGGGTAAGATTTTAGTCCACCAAAACGGTATCATATGTAATAATTTACCCGATAAGCTCTTACCGTGGTAGGAGTCGTCACCTTCACTTATCGGATAAGACTCTTGTTCATTAGCTCGCTCTTACCGGGTAAGACTTTTGGTCCTTGCCATACTCATCCGGTAAGGTAATATGACTTGGCAAATACTTACCCGGATAAACGTTTGGTGAACGACCCCTAAAACTATAAACGCATTTTTAGTGATTTTATTTTATTGCAATAATAATATAAATTTATAGTTTTATTTTATTATAAACAAGAATATACATTGGTATTTAACTAAAAGTAAAAATTAACATCGATAAAGACTGATATGACAAGGCAATATAAATAGCACACATATGATTTTCATTTTCCGGGCAATGTATCATACGAAAAACGTGTTTTGTTATAACGAAGTACAAATCCAAGATCATCTACTAGCGAACATAGACCTGACGAAGTGTTTTATTATGGTTATATTCAGTCAAAGAACAACGACAATACATGTATTGTCGTGAAAGCACTCACTTTCATTGTGATGTGGACTACCGTTTCAGTTGTGAAAATAATATGAGTTGATTTTGTAATGTTCATTGACTTTTTTGCTATTAACTCTAATCAATTCACTGAAAGGACGATGTTTGTTGAACTTCACCGATGGAAACACTTAACCACGAAACTTCAAGACGTGTTCCGAAAAGTCCATTTCTAAAAATCATGAAAAACCGAACAATTACTAAACACCAAATATAATCTATAACACCCAAATTCTTGAAAAAATGACAATCTTCTGGCCAAATGGCAATATCAAACACTTTCTACTTCATATATAAGGGTTATAGCCAACAACTTTCGAAACGCAAGATCTAGGTTAATAACAATTGATATTAAAACCTACATAAGAGTTGCTATCTCCAAGCTACAAGTGTCACTAGTACCACCCCTGCCAGGAGTCCAGTACCTGATGCACATGTCGACAAGAAAAAGTGTTAGACTTAAAGTCTAGTGAGCTTAAACAATTTTCATCCCAAAGAAATGAAGTGATGAGACTGAAAGAATGCTACTAACATCACAATTTCCCAAATGAAACATATTTATTGTAAAAGCAACATCTTTCTCAAAAACCCACCATTTCCATGATGAAAACTCCATATACAAAACGCCAAATTCAATATAAAACCAAAACCAATACTCAAAACGTGAATTACCTAAAAAATACATATACCGAAACATGGATGAAACTCCATTATCCAAAACACCAAAATATGGGCAGGACTTGATATCCAAAATGACAACTCATGGCTAACACTCCATGGCCAAAATAACACCGAAAATATGGGTAAACTCAATACCCAAAACAACAACTCATGGCTAATACTCCATAGTCAAAGCAACAACGAAAATATGGATAAACTCAATAACTAAAACAACTCCTCATGGCTAACACTCTATAGTCAAAGCAACACCAAAAACAAGGATAAACTCAATACCCAAAACAAAATCTCTCAGTGACAGGAGAGACCTTTTTTCCATTGACTATGGCAAAACACAGAGTAAGCCATAGATCAACGTTAACATGTAGCACCTCAAGATTCAATTGATCTTAGTGCCTAATTATCCAAGTTTCACATCAAGACTCATGTCCTTAGTGCCTACCACGCGAGGTAGTACCTCAAAGCTCATGGGTCTTAGTGTCTACCCCTCTGGATAGCACCTCGAGATTCAATAATCTTAGTGCCTACTATATAGAGTTTCTTATTGCCAGAATCTCACTTCATTTACCCCCTGGCATCCGCAACCCTTTCATATACAGAACTCATAATGTACACCTTAAACATGCTAAATAACTCTATAGGTATTCATCTTTCATATACATAACATCTTGTATATAAAACGTTCGACGCCATGAATACCATACTATTTAGCACACGTACAGGGATCAATACGATCAAATAACACCAAGACTCCACACACGCCAAATACGATCGACTCATAGGCCTATGGATCAACTACAACTTCAACTTACATGACGCCAATTTAAATGATTAACACACTCAAAATATGTATTCTCAAATAAGTACGCAATATATGCAAAACTCGTTCATTTATCACCATTGAACACCATTGAACCATTTTTGTGGAACAATGTCTCAAAACACGTTTGAACTAATTTCAAACCAACAAATCCTCCAACTTACTTGACTACTCTAGGAAAGTCAACATAAGTCAATCAAATATATTTACTTCATATTTATGCAATTTTATTTATAAAATGGGAATATATCCCAAACTCCTATTTATTTGAATCAACCTTCAAAATATCACAATAGAGTGATTTGTATCTTTTAAATGTCTCGAAACCCCAAATATACACATTTTTCATGGTTTTATGAAATCAATTGTACCAAGGATGCAAATATACAAAATAATCACCAACATTTGATGAAAACACAAGGAACACATTTGAAAGCTTAAAATACTTCCACATATTCTATACTATCAAATCTCAAACGATCGATTAAAACTTCTGTGTAAAATTAAAATAAAATATAAAATCATTGATATATTTAGATGACGAAAGAATTACATTAGTACAAACAGTTTATCGTAGAATTGTTCTCAAGCAAATGGCTTTTACTTTCTGGTGAGGATTATGTATATCTTGACTTTATAGGTTACGGGAATAAATATATGTCGGAGTTCGGTCTATTTTGGATAAGGAAGTGCCAAAGAAGGAGAGAGCAGGCAACAATGGTGAAGTCGGATGCTCGAAGCAATTTTTTTTTACGACAAGACTCAGATTTATCTCTCTTCTTTTTGGGTATGAAGCAGTGTTAAATGACTTCTCCGGTCGAGGAACACATTAAATATTTACACATAACAAATATCTTCTGATTTCAATAAGAATCCTCTGTTATCGATTGTTGGAATCAACCAACAAACTCGTATCCAACACTGAGTTGTGTCAAATTCGTATAAGCATGAATTTTCGTGTTTATTTTAAATGATTAGATAACTAAAACTTCGGTAAGTTAAAAAAAATTAGAACTCATACCGGAATTTGACATCATCTTTCTTCTAATTCCACCGGTATGTTTCTTTAATTAACACTTACCAAAGACAAATCATATACAAGTGGTTCATGTTAGTTTGTGATACTTCTTTCGATTACGGTAAGCTATCTATAACTTTCAAGTTAAAACTAGTTTTATCTTATGTAACAGTACAAATATAATAATGATGTCGCAAAGCTGTACAAAAGGGTCGCTTGTCAACGGTTATCGGATAAGTACTTACCGACAATAGTCATCACTCTCATTTTCTTTATCGGGTAACATTCCTCGTCTAGATTGTTGGTAAGCGTCATTGCCCAGTAAACACTTGTCGGAGAAAAGTCTTCTCCCTTACTTACCGGTTAAGATTAAAGTAACTCTTATGCTTCTTACCAGATAAGATTTTGGTCTTTGCTATTTTCACCCATTAAAACAAGTAGCATCCAATAAACACTTGTCCAATATTTCGTTACATTTTTAATATATTTAACTTTAATTTTTAATTAATTATGTGGATTTTGACTACAAAAAATTGTGCTTTCCAGGAAAACCATGCACTCGCATGTCTTCGTCGTGTGGTGTGGAAAAACCAACGTGACCTTCTTCAGCCACGCCGACCGTGGTTGCTACCTTCTTAGACGTCCACGTGTCCGGACCAGAACCCTTGTGGGCCCACACGAATCATAAACGCACATAAATCATGCAAAAAACCTTCCCCGTATATTCTTCGAATTTTGCCTTTTCAAATTCATTGACCAGAAAATTCAACCCAAAAAAGTATTTCAAAACCCCATCAAAAACCCCATTTCCCCTGCCAATTTGCTTTGAATTCTACCCTTTTTGCCACCAGTCCTGTATATAATCTTCAATCTCTTCCCTCCCCAACTCTCCGTTCACCGGAACTACAAAAAACAATGGCGGCCACTCAATTGATACGTACTTGGAGGCCGTCGTCAGCCATTTGCGCCCCTTCAACCTCCCAAACGACGTTTACATCAGTAAAGATGAAGTGTAGCATGAGCAACGCGATTGGATTTAGCTTAGAGAACAATCGGTTCACAGGAGATGGAGAGAGAAAACCGGTGGTGATAGCTAAGGCAGCTGCCTGCTCTGAGGCGGCGGTGAACCGTGCGGTCGATGCACCGATGCAAACAAGGCGAGGATTAGATGTGGTTACTCTGGTGGCGATTGTAAGACCTGCGGTGGTTCGGAGGTTATTGTTGGTTACTAGATCTAGATCGTGGAGATCGATTGTTCAATTGTTCATCGAAAAGGTATCAATTATCTTAATTCTTTTTGTAATTTTAAGTTCCTGATGCTTATAGATCCATCAAAATTTTCAGGCTATAATCGATTGTCGATTTTTCACGCTGTTCGCCATAGCAGGAACCTTGCTCGGTTCAGTTTTGTGCTTCCTCGAGGTAAAAATCTTACAAAATTCAAAAATTGTGTGTCAAAATCAAATTGATTATGAAATTCGATCCAAATCCCTAAATTTTTGATAAATTGCAGGGAATATTTTTGGTTATGGAGTCATATTTCCAGTATTTTCAATCCGACCATGGCCATATTATGCAACTACTTATCGAATCTTTAGGTACATTGATCTCTATATCACCATCCATATCGATATCTTTATTTAAGCAAACAGAACATGAGATTAGAAGTGTTTTTGGGGTTGCAGATATGTTCTTGGTTGGAACCGCAATGCTTGTATTCGGGATGGGATTGCATGTCATGTTCGTGGGATCGCAGGGTTCGAAATCGCAGCTTCATTCCTCTAACTTTTTCGGAATTTTCCATCTCAAGGTACATAACATAACAAAAATCCTTATGTAACAGTTTTTAATGAGTAATGATTGAAAAAATCTAACCGGATTTATTTGAATTCTTGATGATTTGTGAAACGAATCAACAGTTTTAGTGACCATGATTGTTGTTTCAGGAAAATCCATCATGGGTCGGAATGAAATCCGTGATCCAAGCAAAGTCGATGATCGGGTATGCTCTAATGTTGTTGCTTCAAGTCGGAGTGTTGGAAAAGTTCAAGAGCATACCTTTGGTTACCGGATTGGATCTCGCATGCTTTGCCGGAGCAGTATTTGTTTCGTCTGCTGGTTTATTCATTCTCTCAAAACTTAGTCTTGATTCTTGATACCCGATCTTAAAATATATATATATATATATATATATATATAGGTAACTTAACGAGTGGTATATACAAATCGAAGGCCGAAAACACAATTCTTTATATTCTTAAATTATTTTGTAGATCGATAGTAATCCTTATTGTAACAGTTTTAGATACTATCATGAATGATATTGTAACAAGTTAATTCTTTATATTGATACCTATGGATGAATGACTTGATGTTCGATTTTATTGAAACATGTCACGTTTTTTACAATGTAGTTGTTAATTGATAAAGTTGTTGGAATTTTGATCACTATGGTTTTCTAAAATCAAATAATGTGTCAAACTTTATCAATCACATGTGTGGTAATCACCAACAGTCGAATATGGAATGGTTGAATTGAATTATAAGGATGACAAATAAAAAAAATGTAAAGTGTAATAAACAATTAAAGAAAGCAAGACAGTAACGCTAATGAATAATATGGTTCCACCATCAGTAACATAATGTCCGTCCATAAATGAAAGTAGGAAACTCTATTGATGGAGGATACTGAAAACACCAAATGGTGTTTGATCTTTCTGTAAAATCTCTCTCAAATTAGGGTTTTTTCTCCCTCATTTTTTTTTGTCTATAGATGGCAACTAAGTGGTTGTGTTTATACTTATCAATACGAAAAATCCAACTCATGTGTATGCTAAAAATGGTATTTTGATTTTATGTTCGTTCACGTGCTTGAAGCAAATCCTTCATGGTTGTGAGGAGGCAACGAAAGGTTTTTGTCCACCTTTTTGGCGTAAAGCAGGACCTTCACGGGCATGAAGAATGTCACTCATGACTGTGAAACAATTTCAATGACCTAACAACTCACCATTTTTCAAGGTTATATGGCTCAACTTCTCATCAACCTCACCTCACTTCACTTCTTGTTTCATATCATATAATATATCGTCACATCACTTCAAATACAGGTAATGGATAAAAAAAATATGAGGTATAGTAATGGCAAGTTTCATTAATTCAACAAAATTTGTTAACGGGATATGTTTTTCTATGCAAAATATTAAATTTTGTTATTCAATCTCGACATGAAATTACGTTTCATCTAATGGAAGTTTTTTATGAAGCGTAACTGTATAACATCAATTTTAACAGGGTGCCGAAATCTTACACTAAACACTGTTTATTACATCATTTTATCTTCAATGAACATACTATTTTTTACACCAAATTTAACATTATCCATTTACATTATTTTCTGTACAACCTTTCACAATTTTAATTTTTGAGATGTGTGTATTCTTATTTTAAAACTGATAAAATTTTAATAGTTTTTACTTGCTATACAAATATCTAGTAATTATCTGTCTTAAAATAGGAAATTTTGATGCCTAGTTATATTGATAGAGAATAAAAAATAGAGTTTGTTACTATATATAACTTTATTATATTTAAATGTATTTTGTCATAAATAATATTATAAATTAAAAGGAGTAGTTAATCTTTTATTATTTAATGAAATGTATTAATAATTAATAACAAAATAAAATAATTTTATTAAATTATATAGCAAAGACAAACTTAAGTGTGTTTAAGATTGTTTATAAAAATAACTTATTGACTTATTTCGGTATAGTATAGATAATAAGCATTTTTAAATTTTTGGATAAATAACTTATATCAATATCAAACCAATAATAAAAAGTTTTTGAAAAAATTAAACACTTTTGACTTATAATAAATTTATAAATATTTTTATTAAAAAAAAATTCAAATAAACAATCCTAAACACCCTATTTGAAACTTCCCCCAATTCTTTTCTTCCCAAAATCAGAATCCTCCATTGCAAACCCTTTTTGCTACTCTTTTCGCTTCAGTAATCGAGCAGCATCAAACAATACCAGAGCATATTCATCATCTACCGGAAGACGAATTTGGCAAACTGCATAATTCAATTTATCGGCCTGTTTTTAGGTATGTATGTTTCACTTTATGAAATACTGATTGGAGATTGTTTTTGATCCCCAATTCGAAATGGATTCTTCTGATCCCGATTCTGTGGAATCGGAGACCTAAACTCATCACATTGATATTCGAGTCATAATCAAAACGTGAATACGGCCTATTCGAAGGCTAAAGGAACTTGTTGTCTATTGTGGGTGTAATTTTGTTTTGTTTTCATTGAATTAATTTTACAGGTAAATAGAACTGTTGTTCAGCTGAATTTGAAGCAAAATACCAATGGAATGCGTGGTTCAAGGAATTATAGAAACTCAGGTAAACTATATTGGTGCGGTACGTTGTGGATTAATCATATGATCTCTTTGTGGATGTTTTAGGTTTATGCAAATGACACCTGGTTATAAGTTTTGCTGTTAAATTAAAATAACGATGGAAAGAAAATCCTTTATCTAAACCATCGATTTTGAGTATCGGTTTTCAGAGTACAAGTCTGCTGAATCTTTAGTTATTACTTAACAGGGGGATAAGTGTAACATCCCCAACCAACTGTACCAGAAATTGTCCACTTTATCTACGCTAGACTCATGGTTTTAGACCGCTTCAGATAGAGGACGTATTTGATCCTTATAAGGCAACCTTGTTAAAGTTTTTAACTTTTTTTATTGCTTGTTTAGAAAGACAGGATCACAAGACTAAGATTCATATTTTTTTCTCAACCTGTCCTGCTAAGAAAAAGATAATTGGATTAGTTCATTTGCACAAAAATGGTTTGCTAATTTAGAATTTAGAGGATTATAGACAAAGGGTAATGATAGTTCTGCTTTATATCTCCTGGTATGTGTTTTCCCTTCTTAAATGTAACGGATAATATTTGCATTCAGGCAAGTGCAGATCTACCGAGTACCTTAAAATATGTCATAATGTGATAATGTAGATGGTAAAACTAGTTTAAATTTTTGGAATAAGTTTTTTTCCTAAACAAACTCCTAAAAGAGAAAAAAATGCATGTTTTCTCACATGGCCTTTGTTTTGCAGCATGTTGAAGCCCTTGAGATTCTTCTTCTAGGTCTTTGTGGTGTTCACAGGGTACGCTTAAGGGTTCATGAATTATGCCTAAAAAGCGGCCCCAACCTAGGTGAGTTGTCTCTACATATGTAAGAAGGAATTCAATATGCTAACAGCATGTAAACATGAATATAAACGGCTAACCTATCAGGCCTATAATACCCTTTTTCTGTTTTTTGAATCTTGACCTTACAAAGGTGGGTGTTGCTTATGCACCCTATTTATGTCAGAATCAGATCAAATCATACATTAAAAATATAAATATTGAGTTTTAACGTTAACGTGTGCGAGGAAAAAAAAAGTAGGTAGGAGTGTATGTAGCAAGGGGTGCATTTAGCCTACCCCTAAGAAGAAGGTACTCTAAATACAAATCGTTTTTCTTGTTCCAAGTTCATAATTATTAAAACTGAGAATCTAAATCTGTAGATTATGCAGTTTATTGTTACACATTCCTTTATTCTTGGGTGGGTGAGCTGGCAAGACAGTAATATCAGCTGCTCTTGTTCGCACTTCCCCTTGCCATCTGCTTTACTAAAAGCCGACTGGTAAGAGTTCTTGGTTTATATGGTAATTGACAGTCTGATTATATAGGTTCCGAAGCATCAGAGGTCCGACTTTTATGTGATCTTGAGCAGCCTGAGCCCACTTGGTAATAAAAACAGTCCTTTCTTCTTTTTATGCACACACATTGCCTTATTTGCATTCTATCATAGTTACAGAAATTGTATTCCATTGTATAGGACTGTTAGACATGTCGGGGGTTCAATGAGGGGTGCTGGTGCCGATCAAATTTCTGTTTTGGTGAGGACAATGGTAGAGAGCAAAGTAAGCAAAAATGTGCTTCGCTTATTTTACTTGCTTGGGTACAAGTTAGACCATGAGCTACTGAGAGTAGGATTCGCTTTCCATTTCCAAAGGAGTGCTCAGATAACGGTTACAGTCTCTTCAGTTAATAAGATGCTAAAGTTGCATGCCACTGATGAGGCCGTACCTGTAACACCAGGCATTCAACTGGTTGAAGTGACGGCACCTGCATCCGCTGAAAACTACAATGAAGTTGCAGCAGCAGTCTCATCATTTTGTGAATATCTTGCACCGTAAGTCTTTCATTTTTGTGAAGTCTTTGCATGCCATTATTTTAGCATGATTTCTGATAGAAAATAATAGAATACATAAGTTGGAACAAGAAATTATACATGTTATCATTTGGTCTTGATATCTTTGACTCATCTAAAGCATTTTGAACCCAGGAAAAAGTGAACTTTTTGTTATTTCTATGATATGTGTCAACTCACTAACAAAAAAATTTGTTGTATTGTATACACCATCTATTTAGCTTGGTAAATTTCTATTGTTTTCACTTATCTTTTTCACATCAGTTTGGGAATTTGTTTACTATCCTTCGGGATGATTGTTGCTAGTACTTAATTTCAGAGATTTGAAACATTGAGTTGCCCGTCTGTTACGGGTACAATTTTATATCCTGTTAAAACCTTATGCAGATGATTGTTGGATCAGTTTGGGTGTTTGCATCTGAAACCTTTTAGTTGTATGCAATCTTTAGAATTATAAAAAAAGGTTTAGTATTTTATATAAATCTTGAAGAAATTGTATTGTTTTCGGTGTAATATATTGATCTTAAATTGGTATGTGATATGTATGATATGATATGATATGATATTTCAGGCTGCTGCATTTATCGAAGCCTGGTGTTTCAACAGGAGTCGTTCCAACTGCTGCTGCAGCTGCTGCATCTCTCATGTCGTATGGTGGAACTACGATTATGTAGCCAATGTCGCTTGGTTTAATTCTTTTCTTTCGTTGTGACAATTTAGGTTGTTCAATTAGACTATTGTACACTGATAATTTGGTTTATAAATTTGGATCAGGTTTGTCTCTCTGCTTTGCTAGATAATAGGAGTAGGTGCTGACCATTTCATTACATGCATCCAAACCATACAGATAAGCAGCAATCATCCCAAACCAGACTACAAGATTGTATTAGATCCATCCATGTATCCAATTTTCACCTTCATTTTCTTTCAGTTTATGGTACGAAAGAGCAAAAGAGCATGCGTATGTTCCTATCAAGTCAACCTGTTTGTTGCACCATATGTACGGGTTTGATCATCAAAGTGCCACCCTATTTGTACCTGCCATCCAAAGACGTTCATCAGCATCTCTGCTAAATTGTTCACCTAAGATGAGGTCTCGACTCTCGGGTTCAAATCCATTCTGGGTCATAGCAATTTTACTCTTGGAGGTTGGGGCCTCATCAGTGTTCCATCAGCACCATGTGTTGAGATTGTATGAGTTATATCAATCCTAACCTAACCATAACTTCACATCTCAGTTATATAATAACTTCACATCTCAGTTATATACCCCTTGATGCTCATGTAACGGGTTCAACGCCACTGCAGGCATAAGCAATATCATCTGATAAAAACAAAGATCATACACATTCAACATATATAAATGAATATATCACTAAACCAAGTAGAATCCAGTACAATTCTGATATGGAAATCTGAAACTAGGGAACTTGAAATACAATTTGTCTGAGATAACAGTAAACAAAAATCATAAAAATTTACACCCAACCCAACCAAACCAAACCAAACCAAACCAAAATGGAACAATAATAATAATATGTGAACTAGATTACATTGTGGCTAAAAGGTCTCGGATTTCTGTTACGGATGGAATGGTCTCGGTTGGGTAGATCTTGGCCACCAGTTGAGCAAAGCTGTCATACTTGTCCAAGTATTCTTTCTGCAAATCATACATACACCATTATCATATACATATATATATATATATACTTACAAAATTCTAAATATATATCAGTCACTGCACTTGATCAAGAAAACCCCGATAAAATACCTTGCATTTATCCCATAGCGAAGGTAATAATTCCTCAGAGGTCAAGTTCTTCTGCAGTTTTTTGTACATTGCACCTATGTGCTTGTCGACCTGTACACATACCAAATACTAATTAATTATCCTCCTCCCTAAATGAGATGAAATAATCATTTATATAAAACTTACTCCTGATAAACTTGATTTCACCACCTTCCTAAGATCCATTTTTGACAGTCCAAGCTGAAAAGGAATCTGTAACAAGCACATTACCATCTCTCTTAACATTCCTTCCAATCCACCAACTACTTCTAATGTTATAACCTCTATTCAAAATACTGCTTTTTACTCCAAAGTGAAACAATCTCATCAATGGTTAGGACAAGAATCATAAGCAATCTGTTAAGCACTAACCTCTTCCGGCGTGATGGTGTACATCAAATCTTCTATTCTTCGAGCAAACTGGAAAAGTCGCTCAAATTGCTGCAAAAATTGAAATGCAATCCAAGAACAAATAATGACTAGAATGCGAAGAGAAATTTCAATTCAAATAGAACTTCGAGAAAATAAAAATGCTAAATCTGAATAGCGATAAGCAAAAGTACTTCTACTTACGTAGTATATAATCACACTGATATGACGTGTGCAAGCTTGTTCATAAGATTCGCTTGCTTGATGATAAAACTTAGCTAAAGTGGGTACAACATTAGCTAGGTCATACAGGCTGCATAAAACTGTTTCTGATCAGCATATAGTGTTGTAATCATGCTTATTGCTCCAAAGAACAACATAAATATAGTAATTAATTAACACATATATATCACTCTCCAAAATATCATTACCTGTTTTGGAATGCAGCATAGTTCTCTAAAAGTATAATATCAGCATATTTTGGGTCTGTTTGAGCAATCTTGTCCAGAGTTGCAAACATCACACCAATCTGCCAGAAATATTCACCAGCTGTGGTTAACTAGTTTGTACAAAAGCAAAAATTCAATCTTTTTAAAGATTTAAACAGAGTGACAGCTGCTTACAGTCAGGTTAATAAAAGAATTATGAGAAGAAGCTTAACAATTGTATCAATAATCAGCGTTTTAAGTGGGCCAATAAAGAGAAAAGGGAGCACATTGTTGTATCACGAACATGTGTAACTTTGCTGCAACCATACATATGTATCCTTAATTGAAACTAGGTAAAATCTTGACATGTTGGAACTTTGAAGCATGCATCATTTGGTCACATAGTACGTAATCATATGACTTCATCCATTATTGGTCCCTTTAACTGAACGCACTTGCTGAGAAAATCCAATAGACAACTAAAAGACAAAAGATACCACTTCTTACTTCCCATATACCCTAAGATATAATCCCACTTAGTTTGAATGTAGCACAAAACTTGTCTCTAAAGTAGTTATTATTGGACCTGTTTTAGAAAGGGCATATATTTGAGAGCCTCTCAATATGGAACATAAGAAAATAATTAAAAAATTGAAGGAGAAATAGTTATCACACTTCAATCTAAAGGAAAAAAGAAGCAAGCCCACAAGATTCATCTAATCATCTCAACTTATAGCAATGAGGCATCATACATGTATGTTTACAATGCCATATGATTATTGGAGAGTACTTACAAACTTAATGTATGCTTGATCAACCAGATCTCTAGACTGTCCCTGGATATACTGTTCCATGCGTGTAGCAAGGGTCGCAAATCTACAATAAATAACTCAAACCTCAATTTAACATGATGTATAACCATAATTTGGTACCAAATAGCACGCATATGGAATAAAAAATCAAGCACGATACAAAATTGTTTCATGTGCATTTCACTCATATAGATACTTAAAGCACAATACAAGTTGTTTCACGTTCACTTCACCCACATAGACATGTACACACAAGAAATGACATCCCACCTAGGGAAGCCAAGGTTCTGACTAATTTGTAGTAAATTTTGAATATTACAAAAGATCAGCCAGGAATTACTTAAAGAGCTCAAAAACTTATGTCAAGAAATGTCAAAGTAAATTCTGGATTTATAAGAAAGTAGATCCGTTCACTAGATCATAAACTCGATTGGACAGAGCTCCACATAATGAGCAGATACCGAGAGTACGAACAGGACGCCCAATTTTTTTCTGATTGGTATCTCGCCTAAATAAAAACCATTAGTAATGGTCCCTATACCTTGCCAAAAACAAGTCCGAGTTATCAAGGAGAAACATTCTAGAAGTTCATGCGTCCACATTATGTTACTTACCCTGCTGAACTGAGAAATTTAGTGGCATTGATGACTTACAAGAAAACGTTTGAGACTAATAGTTTAATAGAGTAATGGAAGTAGTTGCAAAAATTCTAGTGAGGCCCTTCTCAGGCTGGTGTGCCAACAATGGTCCAAATCAGGCGAAATGATTTCCGGGGGGAACAGGATACTCCCTCAAACTCATCATATCTTACTGGGATGCGACTAAATACTGGTTCTCTTTCCATAATGAAGTAATTTGTTTAAGCATCTAAGTGTAACTGTATCAGATATATTTAACTTTTTAACAGCTGACATATATTTCTTCCAACAACCATTACAGCCTTCTATCCCAAACTAATTGGGGTAGAACGAAAATGAAACAGACTATGCTTGTAACAAAAGAGATAAAACACTATTTTATCTCATGTGACTTTTTATATATATTCCAAATGTTGTAGAACCTAAACGGTTCTCTTATACCTTTTATCATTTATAATAGAGCTCCGTGTACACTTACATCAACTTTAACAAAAAAACATGAAGCACATATTAGAAGTAGTGCTAAGTGCTAACAGACTCCATCAGTAAGTTCTTTTTAATGCATCTTTGCAAGTCTCATGTGATCCAGGAGTCGCACTGAAGCTAAGAGGGTAAGCTCCATAGGATGATACATGGACCAAAAAGAACTCAAACCCTGAATGTAGAAAAAAGGTGAGTGCTAGAGGTGGATGTGTGGCCACACAATTAGAAGTCGTACTAGAAATGATATCTGAAGAATGTTGGTTGGCATCAACTAAAGAAAGTTGAGGAAACACTGCTTGAGAGGGTTGGTCAAATCTATCTTAGATCTTTGGATATACCAGTTAGAAGATGCGACTTAATATACCAAAAGAATGTAGCCGTATGAGCATCAAGAATTGCATTGAGACATAAGGTAAGGGAAAACAAATGTAACAGATATGACTAGCTTACCTGGGAATGTATGACAAGACACCCATTTGCCGAACATTTCGTTCATTCCTTTCTATCTGGTGGCAAGCTTCATCTACAAACTACATTGGCAAGTCACATCTTAGAGGTGATTCTAAAATCTATAGATCCAACATATAAGTGGTAACATACACGGGTAAATTGAGCAGTGATTCTTTCTTCCAGCGCATCAAGCAAGAGGCGCACATATCCGGCTGCATCCGCTTTCTGACCAGAAATATACCGTTCTGTTATGCCATGCATTGATATGCACCGCAAAGGATCAATCTTGTATGCCCAATCGACAACCGCGTAAAAATCCTCCTGAAAATCAACATATATAAGAACAAGGCTTAGAACTAAATACGGAATAAAGTGATTGGGGCTTTTCATGACATTAAAAAATTATTAAATAGAAAGATCTTCTAGTACTTGAATCCCATCGAGCAAATCACGAAGCGACTCATTTAGTGCCCCTAGCTCTGATATACCTACAAGATTTTAAATACAGAGCTCAATGACAGTATAAGTTTCATGGATGAATAGAAGCGCGTGAAAAATATTTTACTTTTGTTGTTGTCATTATCATCAATGTCCATAATGCCTAAATCATCATCATTGGATTTGTCGCCATTGGCAGGACTTCCAGGTGGAGCAAGTGCAGAAACTCCAAAGCACATGAAGTGTGAAAAAAAGGAACTCTGCAGTTCACATAGTGTAAGTGAAGAAATGAATCAATTTAAGAATTCTTCTAAAGCAACAAACAACAATAATGACAATAATTAGGACCCTTTGTGTGTAAGAACAAGAGTTGAGAGAGAAGAAGTTTATCCTAACCTCATCAACAAGGAGTGGGATAAATATTGTGAGCATCTTGGCATAAGCTTCTGAAACTGTGGAAGTATCTGCATTGTTTACATTTTGATTGGAACCAGTGGAACCTTCAAGCCAGACAGTTGGATTTCTTGATGCTTTGGTACTAGCTCGAAGCTCATTAGCAAATTCACGAGCCTGAAAAAGATTGCGAGACTTTTTAGCTAAACATCTTCTCACTTTCATGTTTTTTGCTTAGTCAGAGATGATTAGTTTTTATAAAATTACAACATCAAGCCATCTCTCAAGTAGTTTTGGTTTTCTAATGACTTGGGAAGTAAACATGCTATGGAGCTCTCATTTAAAAATATATTGTGAGTTCAAATCTTCACATCTATATTGGTTTCTCGAATAAGATGATGCAATTTTTTCTTGAAGGTCCCATTTTACTATGATGTAGCATCTATAAATCTAGTGAGGAAGTTCCAGAGGGGAACTAGTATATACTACAGTAAATGAATACTTCTCACTTCCAATACTCGAAGCCAAGACCTTGAGGTGCACCTCAGTCACAATGTCTCTCCGCATGAATTGGAAGATGGCAGTAATCTGAAGTCTATACGATCAGCTGGACCTTGAATTACAAATATATCCACATAATGGTCTTAAAGCACAACTGGACCCTGAAATCTATACGATCAGCTGGACCTTGAATTACAAATATATCCACATAATGGTCTTAAAGCACAACTGGACCCTGAAATCTATACGATCAGCTGGACCTTGAATTACAAATATATATGTATATATGTGTGTGTGTGTGTGTCCATAGCTGGCATATTTATTTAGATTTGTCCTTAAAGCACACAAAGTACATAATTTGTGTTGAACATTGTATTAATTGGTGGAAATTACATGAAAAGAAGCTTAAACAGGCACATGACCCTTACCTCACGCCGTAAAAGCAGATTAAGGGAGCTACAATAAGCTTTCCTCAAAGGACCCAAACAATTTTTATCAAGACTCTGCACATAACAAGTAAATAAGATTCTGAACATAATATTAGTAAGTAGAAAAAACATTAAAATCGATAATTGTAGCTTGTATGTCAATTGACCTTCAAGTGTTGCAACAGGCGAGCATAAGTCCTGCATTTAAAGCGGAGATCAGCGTGATCAGGCCTCTTTAGTTGCCCCCTCTGTCCAATGAAAACCACAATCAAAATTCGAAGTTCTAAATCTTAATGGCTTCAACATTACAAATAACTAAGAAACGGTCTAGGGAACAAACCTGAGAGAAGTAACTTTTATCGCTTATCATGAAATCAACCAAACTAGCAAAATAGTTTCTCAAAAACTCAGAGGCTCTCCGAACAAAAGTAGTTTTTAATTTGTCAAGTTCTGCCCTCTTTTCCCTTACCTGTAAGTTAATGAGACTACAGTTTCGTAATTATGTAGGATAAACAAAGAAATGCACATTCATGGTGAGACAAGGTTCATGACTAGTCACAAACATAAAATGCAGTTGAATCAAATATTGTCAAAAGGCCAGATGAACAAAAAATGCATAAAGTTAAATCGAGCAGTTCAGGCATGTTAGCGAGCAAAAGACTCCAAGAACCCCCAATAGGATAGTTACAATTGGTCAAGAGACACAAGATCCTTAAATTTATCAAGTGTAACATGTGGAGATAAGATACAAAGATCTACCACATAGATGTTGTCACTAACCAAAACCGACCAACTATTTGCCAACCTCACACTGCAAAAGTTCACATTAAATACCTTTGGTACTAAAATAAAATAGTTTGCATATACCAAGTGTTATAAGAACCAAAACTGTGTTACGTTTTATTGCTTTTGCCTCATGGGAAGGTTACTCATTTAGGACCGGGAGGGAAAAGACTGTACAAAGACTTCCAACCATAACCTCCACAAAACTAGGAAGCTTCTGCCCAAGGGTCACATTTTACTTTGCGTTCATTTTTTTAGCTTCGCAATAGCTGCAATGAAATACTTCACTGTTATACTGTAGCCTTGAGTTTGAAAGAACTCTCCGGTTGTAATGAAGTGTGTACTCTACTAAATAGCTATTTCTTGTAATGAAGTGGTACCTTATTATGTTCAAGTACTTTGTAACTGTTTCTTTAGGAGTAGACATTAAGATACTAAATATTTTGGGAGTTTTAAGAACAAAGGCCATTCACCAATGAGCTTAATCACCAATTCTCAGATGAAAGCTATGATTGTTACGACAGACATGCATAGACCATCACCATATTTCACATCAATAGAGAGAATAATAAATAAAAACTGTGGGAGAGTTGCAAGAGTAAAAAAGATAAAATGTATATACCGCTCTAATACTTGCATAACTTGGGTCCAAACTAGGTGCTTCAAGGCTACGTAAAGCACCTGTTAACCATTCACATGCTTCGATATTTTGAAGCATGCGAGCCTCGTCGAAGGAGCCTCCTGTTAGACATGCTGCATACTGGAATAGACATAGAACGATTGGGCTGACGATTAAATAATTTTAGCAAGTTAATACTGATTGAATATGTTGTACCTCTGAAGGAATACGCAGCCTCTCAAGAAGCTTATCCAGTTCCTCAATTAAAGCTTTATTATTTACGGATTGCATCTCCAGCTGGTTATTGCGTGTTTCTATCTGTGATAATAAGATGAAACATTATGGATCACAGCCAAAAGAGAACTTGAGATAAACATAAAAGAGACACAACCATTAACCCATCTCTAGATAAGAGTCCATGAGTCAGGTTAAAGGTTTGTAGAGAGTTGATATAGTATTTTATTGATGTAATGGTCCCATATTTCCAATCTTCGTGTATGGGTGCAGGTTTAGAGTTTGGCACATAAAGAAAAGTGAGCAAAACAGTCACAGTAAATACCATGCAGAGGTAGGAGGTTTAAGATGTATGCAGGCCTTACCTTACGTCTACCCCAAAAGGTAGAGAGAGAGTTTGGAACAAAAAAGGGATACAAAAATGTTCAATGTAAGGGGATCGAAGAAAGAAAAGTAATATATAAAGGAGGTGCCAAAAGGGAAGAAGGGGCAATTCTAGCTACGTAGTGGGTGTGAAGGATATACATCATCCATGATCGAACGTAGAAATCATTAAGGGGGTGTTTGGTTAGAGGCATTAAACAGTAATCAATGGGAATGAAAATAAAAGAAACTGTTTGGTTTTATATTAATATAATGGGCTCATTCCCCCAGAAGCCCAAATTTTCATTATTGGTTAAACCAGAGGGAATGAAAATTCATTCCCATTTTCATTCCATGATTTTCATTTTCACTCCAATTTTCATTCCTCAGCCTAAACCAAACAGCCCCTAAGGCATGAACAAAAAGATCATTGGTCGTATTTTCCAAACATAATATCATTACAGTACTCAACAAACAAAAATAATCAAATATTTAAAACCATACATAATCCCGTCGAGATGCTCGTATTTTCCAAACATAAGATCATTACAATTGATCAATATGTCCAACAGAAGAAAGGTCATTGGTAATACATATGCCCGAAGAACAAATAAATCCTCAAAAAAATTAATATCGAGACTGATAATAGATAGTCCTGGGTAAGGGATGAATGTATAGTTTGTAAATGTGGTTAAGTCTGCTATATCATGGAATGAAACAATTTCGACCTAAAGGAAACACACCAAAGTACAAATAATTTGCAGATATCCATACCGACTCAATGTCCTCTCGCATATGTCTAAGTTTTACATTAAAAATCCCCAGCCATTCATCCATGTCATCAACACAGATTGTGGCGGCCTCAAGCCCCTGCAATACCTGTAGGACATTACGCAGAAGAATTAGAAAATACCATACATAAAACATTTTGTGAGAAGTCAAACACTGAACATATGAGCTTTTCAATCAGCAAGATCACTCTTCACAACATGATGAAGGGTATAAGAATGTCATCCTCGTGAGAAACAAAGTTTAACTCAACTCAACTAATTCTTTATTTCAAATTGGTCAACTCAGGCTAAAATGGATTGCCTGAAGTAGCAATAAATCATTGTGTGCAAGAGACAGGGATGCATTGAACACCATGAGCAGAAGTCTGCATAGCAATATGTACCATTGAGTAAATACTTGTACAATCAGATTCGTCTTGGATACAAGGCATTCACAAAACACCACATTATTGTGCTACATGCATGACGATGATTCCGAAAGTCTCTAATGTACAAAAAGTCCATTCTTATGAGCATAAGCCAAGCAGACAATAGCAATAAGAAGCTTAAACTCTTCCAAGAATGCAATGTACTCGTATTACCCAGTATGAAAGGTATACCTCGTCGACCAAGGGCTCGCTTTCAAGAATGGCATGCACATTTGCTGCTTCCAAAGCATGAAGCTCACGTTTTAACCTTTCAGAAAAGGCTTCTGCTTCGCCAATACCCATAACGTATCTGGAAACAATGTCATTACCAAGATCACCATCAGCAGATTAAAACAATCCCATAAGAAGAGGCTTGATCTCTGGAATTTAGTATATACTAGTTGTATGGATTATTTAAACAACAACAATTCACCATATAATAAGAATGGTCCATCCCTCCAGAGCAACCTACATGCCTAACCTCATCAAATAGGAACATCGTGAATACAGTAAATTATGCATTTATCTCTTGAAAAGTTCTACCAAGTACAAGGCCATGAATATATATAACAAGAAAACAACTACTATTAGAACAATGTTCAATAACAAACTAGAGGGGTAGTCAAGCCAAAGAGTGCATAATGAGGATCCCTCCTGGGTATAGGGAACGTAAATAGCATATTTTCTTGGGCAAGTAACAGGGGTGCAGCTCTCTTGCTGGGAGGGGCAAATTGAGGTCCTATAATAAATAAACAAAAAAGTGAATTCAACATCTATATGTCATAGCTAAACTTAAACCTTACATCAGCTGGAGAGTGAGAGAAAAAGAGATAAGACACAACAGGCAACGAACAACTGATCCATCTCTCTCTCTCTTGCTCTTACAGACTTGCACAGTGTTGAACTTTCAAACCTTAGTCCCTCAACTTTGCACAGTGTTGACTGTTGAACCTTTTTTTAATCATTTTAACTTGTTCCTATCGTTTTATTTTCCATTTCAGTTGATAAATGTGCTGTTATATGAACAATGCTTATGAGCAATACATATTATGTGGTGTTCTTTATTTTTTATGAGTGGCAAAAGTCAATGGCGGTATATTATCATTGTTTCATATATCTATACTTACTATATGATAAAACATTTGACAAAAACTCTTAAAAACTACTTTTTATGCATGAAGTACTGTTTATTGATGCATATTACTTAAAATTCAAGATTACAAGTAGATTGTGCTTAAGTACAACTTATTAAAGCTCTATCTTTGAATTCTTGTAACTAGCTRTAGATAAACATAATCAAATACAGAATAAACATCTCATTTTAAATATAAAAAATCTAAAATATAATTAGGATAATCATTAAATTATAACAGAATACTTAATTATTATTTTTATAAAAATTATATTATTAAACCTAAATTAAATTATAAATAAAAAAATTGAATTAAGAAAATTACACCAAACACAATAAGTTTTAGAAAGATTAATTTGATATTGATATCGATATATTTTTTTTAAAAATTTATAATATTTTTAAATTTACATTTTATTGAAAAAAAAAAACATTATCGTTTTCTCAAAACCACATAAAACCCTATTATATCGACATAAAAAGGGAATAAAACGGAACACTGAAATCAAGATGTATCTCGATGCATTGCACGAGTACCCTTCTTGTATACTACTAAAGCATTGTATATTGCTCGATTTAAGATTTACAGGAAACAAGTATTCTTCTTATGTAGCATCATCAAGTTAGGTGTATAAAATCATGGCATAGGCTCGAGTAAGTAATTATTTCAGGAACAGACAAAGAAATAAGCATACATACACGCCTAAAAGAGCTTCCATGTCCTCTTCTTCTGCTTGAGAAACAAGTTCTTTTTCAACTGTAACCTTCATGTCACTTTCTGCAACAACATCCATGTCATGGCCATCTTGAATATTTTGTTTCTTAGGAACTGCAGGAGTATTTTCCTATACATGGGTTGTAAATTTATCAACAATAATGAGCCATGGGCATAGAAAAACTTGGAGTGAGGACCAAGTGATAAAGAAAAATTAAGTGAGTAAAAAATTTAAAACATGATTCTGAAATGGCCATGTGTAAAGCTCCTGAAAAAGTGGAGGGAGCTGTTAATTGACCAGCCAAAGAAGACAAAGATCTAGCTCCCAAAGTACAATTAATATGTACATGTATGTATTAGCTCTCATGTGTCAACATGCAATTAATGTGAAATTATTGGTTGATAGCATCAATCAAGATCTTTGCTTCAAATGGGAACTAGAATTTATAACTTTGGAAAATATAGGTGAGAAGGAGAAAAAATATGTTGAGATCAAGCCAGAGTTTTTGCAACTAAATGTTACAGTTTGAACCTTAAATTCCAAAGTTATGTATCGCAGACCAGCCAAAGTAACGAATAATGAGATGTTGTGCATGTCTAGTCACAGCAGCTATCTAATCCCAAGTCCATGAGGCTTTGCATTGACATGATGGAAGTTCGTGTATTTCAACATAAACAACAAGACTAAGAGAATTCATACATACCTTGGCCCAAAGAGCCATCTCCACTACATCAATACCTACAACTTTTGGTAGATGGCCCAATATGTCTTTACATATGTTTAATATGTAGAGCAAGAGACGGTTCCTAAAACATCAGAAAATACATTAGAATTGTAAGCTTTCCTGTCATATTATGGTTGATGTAAATGCATAGGTTGAAACAACAGTACCTGTCGTCAATATTTCTCATGGTCCACTGAGGAGGAGCAACACTCTGGCTTCTAAGATTATCAAAACCCTATAGAAAGATTAGCCAATCGACAAACTTGCTATATTAAAGCAACTGTGACCCAGAAGAAGCAAAAAATACAAATCATGTGAAGAAAAAAAGGATTACCAGCATAAATGTGCATCCACTAGGATCATTAGTTAAAACTTCCACCTTTGAAAGATGCTTCAGCTTGTATAATTTTGCAGGCTACACATGTTTCAGAAATAATATTTGTTAAATATTCTGACTTTTATGCAGGAAAGAAATACACATGTAATAGAACTTATGAGCTCGGTGTGCTAGCTCTATGACAACAGCTTATGCATGCCATTTGTTAAACGTCCAAAACACAAGGATTATATGATGCATGTCGACATGAGCATGCACCTTATGTCAACTGACAAAAGTTTTACTATGCAAAGACTAACAGACAGAGTTACAAGAACAGAAAAGCAAAAATGTTCGATTGAATGATGGGACTTGATCTTGCCTAGCAAAGAAACAATTAACTGGGACCAGAGCATCCGTAGCAGAAGTGGACATTTCCTCCATGTTCCATTTTATATCATTTTTACTAGCTTTATAAAAAGTGATCTATGGATATCTGATTTTCAAGTAACTATGTTATACTTTGTCCTTGTGTTAAAGACAATTTTGCCCCCTCGATGAAAAAAATCAATACTTCACTCATCAAAATAAAGATGTATTTCAACCAACACAACCTACAAACGAATACTCTAAATAAAAATGTTCTTGTGCATGCGTGCAGGTAGAACAAGATTGAGCAGAAGAAGGAAAAGTCTAATATGTACCTCAAGAACTCCTCCATTTGAATACTTCAAGACATGAAGAAAGGCCTTAGTTTGTTGGACTTTTTCTTTTGCTGCATAAACCACAATTAGTTACATAGACCAAACTACACAGAACACCTATCATTTCGCATTCATACAATCAACTCGGAGAGTAGGGATATTGATGACTTCTCAAATATTGATAAATCATTTTCAACCCCAAAGAGCAATCAGAAGCTAGCCAAACAAATAGATCCACCAAGTAAACATGCAAGGGAGATTGATCTCAACAAACAATAACATTTTCTAGTATCTGAAATGATAAGAATTGCACTGTTTCAAACAAATTTCAAGCAAATACACAAGAACCATTATAGAAATATCAAGTTAACTATTGATCATGGTGGTTGCCATTGTAATAACAGTAGATGACTTCATATATTAACTATTGTTGATTTCTCATATGGCCACCTTCAAAGATTATAATAAATGACAATAAATCATCATAAAGAACTATAGTACAGCCTGATTATGTATATTATAGAAGCTTTTATAATATAAAAACAAAGACATATAAAAAAAGTACGACCAGTAATAAGGTTGGGATAAAAAGGTTTAATGTTGTTGCCCCACCAATTATGACCCAAAACTTACATATATCTTGTTACGAATTACTCATGCCCTTTTTCCATGAATATTCATTGGTAACATTAACATGCCATGATATTTAAAAAGAAGTATGCACAACTTCTATATGACTTCTTTCGGCCCTTCCCCACAGAAAACCCAATTTTACTGCTCCATCAGCAATAAGCCCTATGCTAATTTTACTTGCTCAGAAACACTGAAAATAACATGCCTTATGACACATGTTGAAGATGACCAATTAGTCTCACTGATACCTTTCACGCTACATATATAATAACCATATTTTGCCTTATGGGAGAAGCCAAAATATTGAAATTCTGTAAGCAGTAAAACTACCCTAATTTCATTGTATTAGTAAGCCAACTCGAGCCACGATTACCCCTCCTATGTGCATTTGAGCATGTCATTACCATTTCATCATTCTCTACTTCACTCCGCTTCTAAAATATAAAATACCATTGTACCTCAAATCGGCATGATCAGTATGAAAATCTTTAATCAATTTATCTAACTTCGTCCCACTTGGTAACTTATTTATTTCTTTTTTTGACTAATCATCAAAATAAAGACCTTCTATTGGCTATTCACAAGTTTCATATTTGTATCATTTTTAGCCAGCTTAATGAGTCTCTGATCATCCAATAAAAATTACTAGTGTCAGACTTCATACATAGATTGCCCTACTTCTTACCTGGCGCACCACGCTGATTTTTGAAACCCTGTTGTGCCAAAATTTAACCTGGAAACAACTAGAAGGCCAAGTGTATACTTCAATTAAACTAAACTGTTGGTTACAACACTTCCCTCTACAGTTAAGTTCTCTCTTCCTCTCCTTGTCACTAAGGGTTCCAAATCAAAGCAATATAATTCATCATCTAAAGTTTAATTCGCGATTGGGGACGTCTTCCCTTGAATTGTATTAGATGGGTGTCCTTCATCTAAAGGCTTCTCGCGTTGTGAATTTGTCCACATAAAACTCATCTTGTTGCAGGAGAAGGTTTTGGTATGCTCAACTAACATTTGACAAGTCTTCCTTCTATTTCAGTCAAGAACAAAGGTTGGCCAACATTGAATTCAGGAAAAGATCAGAAAAATATTGATAGCAGAAATTGCAGGTAGGAGTTAGAAGAGAAATAATATGATCAGTACATTCTGAGGTAAAATATCAAAATTAGGATCAGAATAATGAAATCACAAAAAAGTTATTTCTAGCACAACAGTGGCAATGGGGATATACAACAGCAGTTGATTTTCTGTCTAAGGTGGTAGTGACCGTAGACCAGGAGGGTGGAATAGGTTGCCGTGATGCAGTGGATGGAAGCAGCATGAGCCATGAGGCCCTTCATCTTTTTCCTCCTCTAAAGTTTTATTTCTAATTACTTTTTACATTTGGCCTCCTAACTTTTTTTCTAATTCAGAACAGAAGGTTCTCAAAGCCAATGTGGCATGCCTTATTGCGACATAACATGTCAGGTATGGAGTCTTCGATCAATCAGAGATGAAAAGGTTGTCAAAGTGGTTTAAAGAGATATTGGAATTGCTAAATTGATGAGCGATACATTGGTCTTTTTTGGTAATTTATCCTTCATTCTTGTTTTCTCCTTTTAACTCGTCTTCTTGATCATTAAGAGTCGAGGTAGAGAACTCGTGTTTCACATTATCTATCATTTTTAACACATTTATATTATCTACCCCAATCCTTTCTTCATCAGAGACTAAGGTAAGCAAGCAACTTTCCACAACGTATCTTCTTGAATTCCTATCCTTCATTTACCCGTTTAAACAGATAAACTACCTACAATCAAATAATAACCTTAGTGGGTCATTAATCATGAATTGCTCAATTAGCATCACAGACAAAAATTGGAGTTCAACTGAAGATCCACAAGTTCTCAAACGCGTCAGGTGGCAACAACAAGCAATTCGTCAAGTAAATACCAACTTAACTAATAATCACAACAACATAAAAGTCGGGGCTACATCGTCCCAAACAGATAGCTAAGAGTTACCAAGCCGTGAGTCAAGGAAAAAGCAAGACAAATAGAGAGATGAAGAAAAACCTACTAGAGACTGCAAGGACCCTAGGTTTAGCCATCTGCCCTTTGCCTATTTTGCCTGTTTTGCCCCAAATACCACGGCTTTTGGCAACCCGGATCGACAATACAACCTTCTGCTTGGTGGCCTCAATTGCAACTTCACAGGCACGCCGGAGTTCAAGATCGTCGGCGCTCGATTTCGCCATTTCTTCCTGCCTACCTCTCCTCTTCCAATGCAATTCGTTCTACTACTACCACCTCTCCCCAATGATGAAGACCAGTGACAGATCTCGGAGCAATATTCAATCAAATTAGGATTCTACAGTTGGTTACTTCGTACGCGTAACGATTGAAGATTTCACCTTTTACTGATCACTTGTTATCACCACCACTTTTGGTCAAATTTTGTGTTTTAGGAGTCATCTTGGTTTTTCGACTTCAAGTCATGAAGAGGCCTATATTCTGCGCAAATTTATGTATCTTTTTTTGGTTACTTATTTTAGAATATTATAATAAATAATAAAATCTAAAAATCATCAGAATTTTATTACTCTCGTAATTCTGGTAAATATATACATATATCTATATATCTATATAGGGGTTGGTTCAAATACTGGCCAAAATTTTTGTGTTAACTTTGTTAATTAAACTCAACCAATCATATTTCATCTTTTCTTTAGGTTCACATATAACTCATGTATTAATGACAAGGGTAATTAAGTAATTTGTCATTTATATAACTCCCAAATCATTAATTGGGAGTTACAAATCTAAAATTTTCAATAATTGATGATTATGTAATAATGATATTTTTTATATGTGTTCATGTTTTGTAATTTCGATTTATTCTATCCATAATGATATTGATTTTGTAATTGTTAAAGAATTTTCGATTGTAAAGATTTCGATATCGTCCGAGTAATATGGATAAACCTATTGGAAAACATATCGACAACAATGAGAATGAAAAGGTTAAAATCGTCTACGACTAYAATYGRAATTCRAATTCATATGTAATTGTTAAAGAATTGTTCACAAGTGTTCATATTGTGTTCATATGTACATTAGTTGCATATCTCAACATTGGCTTGCTCCTAAATGTGTTCATAATGAAGAAACTATTGTTCACAAACTGTTCATATTGTGTTCATATGTACACTAGTTGCATATCTCAATATTGGTTTGCTTCTGAATGTGTTCATAATGAAAGAACTATTGTTCACAAACTGTTCATATTGTGTTCATACCTGTTTTTTTATTTATTTATTTTTGTGTAACAACTATTCTTATTATATTCATATTGTGTTCATAAATGCTATATAGTTCAAATTCATATATATGTCAATTTTTGTTCGTATTTGACACAATGGTTCATATGTGTGTGTGTGTGTTTTCATATGGTTCTTACATTAACAAAAATAAATTAATAAAAATAATGAGATTTTTTGATTTTGTAACTCCCAATTAATGATATGAAAGTTACATAAAAAAAGAAAATTACCTAAATACTCTTTTCCCCTTTCTTCACATATGTTCTTTGAAATTGTAAATTTAACTTTTTATCATGATTAATCACAACTCTTTATTGTAAGAATCAATGGCCAAGATTGGTTAACAAAGTTAACACAAAAATCTTGGTTAGTATTTGAACCAAGCTCTCTCTCTCTCTCTCTCTCTCTCTCTCTCTCTATATATATATATATATATTGATAAAAAAATAATATGACGAAAACGAGTCTACACCTTTGTGTGTCGTTATCTACCTTCCATGATTGTTTTCTTTACCCGTTAGCTTTTTAGGGTGATCATGAACATACAAACTAGCTTATGTACACCAACTAACATTTGAACAACCATTAATATTTTGAAGTCACTGCAAGTGAAATAAACTCAATGACTTTGTCTAGCTAGCTCATAACTGATTTCAAACCCGTTGAAATTAACTCGTAAATATAGCAACCATCTAAATGAAATTTTCTTTTCTTTTGGATAACCGTCATGCCATATATATATATATATATATATATATATTAGAGGCGGGTTAGATTACAAACCACCTGATTCGTGAAAACTATGCAAACCACTCTCGACCAATAGGAAATTTTCGTTTTTTATTCTTTAATTTTAATAAGTAAGGGTATAATTGTCATTTTACTGTATAATGGTTAATATTGAAAAATGATTTGATTGTTTTTAAATATGGAAACGTAAATATATAAACCGTTTATATGAAATGTGTAAATCAATTGTTTTAAATATAATATTGAAAATAATTTAATTATTTTTAAATATGAAAACGTAAATATAGAAAAAACCGTTTATATGGAAGATGTAGATCAACTGTTTTTAAATATAAAACAGTGAAAAAGTTGCATACAATGAAGATGACAGATTAATACAGTTTCATAATGTGAAACAGATTCATACAATGAACCAAATTCAGACATGTAAATAAATATTGTGAAACAGATTCATACAATTAGGAAATACATGTTAATCTAGTTAAGAAATACAATTAATACAGTGAACCAGATTCATACAGTGATGTAATAATGTTTTTCATACAGTGAAATAGTTGCATACAATGATGAAATACAGTTTCATATAATGAAGAGAACAGCGATGAAATACAGTTTCATACAGTGAAACATATTCATATGGGTGATTTGCCGATTTTGCCCTTTTTTAATTAAAAATTAATTTTTTTTTAATTTCCTAATATAACAGATTCATACAGTGAAACAGATTCATATGGGTGATTTGCCGATTTTGCCCTTTTTTAATTAAAAATTAAACTTTTTTTTTAATTTCCTAATATAACACTATTTAAATTTGACTATTGATCAAGAAAAATGGATGAATAAGATCGGTTTGTAGGGTTTTCACAAATGATGGTGGTTTGCAATTGATCGCTCCTCATATATATTAAAATACTATCTATATGATTGCGATCAAATTTTGTGTAATGGTTGATGATGAATTTTAAATTCCAACTTTGTTTTTTTTTATGTGCACTTCTTCCTCGAATTATGACTGAAATAATGCTTTTTGAACATACAAATACACTCAGTGTGATTAAATCATTGGAACTTATTGGTGATAGTTATTTCTAATTATTCAATTAACTATTGTGATTTTCATAAAATATCAGTACATGATTTGTAACTCATCCTGGTATTGTTTCAGACCGATCAGGATATTTTAGATGCAAACTAATATGATACGGTACAACAATATTAGTATCATCCTTTTGTGTCAAAAAGGCTTTTCCACGTACAAAAGCGAAAGAGCCTGTACCACCAACCACAGTCAACTCATCTTTTCGATCACTGCCCGAGTTTCTGGCTTGAATACTTACACTGCCTGAATATTCACGAGTATCAAAAGTCAGATAAATAATGTTGAATCCCGAGTGTGCAAATTGTTCAACAGGGATGATGAAGCCTTGGGCTTTCCCAACGACTCGTGAAGTGTTCTTCGGCCCTTCAGTTAAAACTCGATGGAAGATCAAGGCACCAGCATCCTGTGGTGCCACTGTGTGCGCATCTGGCGGCACAACAGTGGTTTGCGGTTGTTGGATGTATAAAGATAAGGCCAACCATGACTTTGAAGGTGTTTTTGAATGGGGTAACGGTGAGAGGGTGGCCAGAAGTATGACAACAAGTATTGCTGATATTACGAAACCACAAAATATGAACTTATTAGAAAACATAACAGATTTATGATACTTAATGGCTTAATCTCTTGAGGGCTTTATAAAGATGCTTTATGCTTTTTTGGCCACCTAAATCACCTTTGCTACCAAATCCACCCAACCCCAACATGCATGTATATGTAGTAGTTGTAATATAATGCAAGATGTTTTTTTTAAGAATGATGAAAAATTAGTACAAGTTTTTCTTAAAAAAACACTATGAGGATATTTGCACAATGCAGCGAGATAAATCTCGATTTTAGTGTTTAATTTTTATTACTTGTCTCTATCGATATAATACGATTTTATATGGTTTTGTAAAAAAAAATAATGTTTTGATTTTTGAATGAAATATAAATTTGAAGATAACATAAAAAAAAATCGATATTAGTATCAAATTAACTATTTAATAGATCTCATTTTTTTGGTGTAATTTCTGTAATTCAATTTTTTATTATAATTTAATTTAGATTTGATAACAAAGTAATTTATTTTTGGTTTAACAATATAAGTTTTTTATAAAGATAATAATTAAATATTTTGTTAGAACTCAATGATTATCTTACTTATATTTTAGATTATCTATATTTAAAATGGATGTTTATTCTATATTTGATTATGTTTATATGCAGTTAGTTACACGAATTCAGATATGGAGTTTTAATAAGTTGTACTTACGCACAATCTACTTGTAATCTTGAGTTTTAAGTAATATGCATTAATAAACAGTACTTTACGCATAAAAAGTGATTTTTAAAAGTTTTTGTCAAATGCTTTATAATATAGTATAGATAAAACATACGTCTGAATAGAATAGAGAACAAAGCGACAATTGGATACGTTTTACTAATTTGAAGATTCAATATAAAAAACCCAAAATATATATTAATATATTTTTTTATTATAGATATCCAACCCGCTATGCGAGCCGACTAATCCTAGGACGACCACCTGCTTTGCAGATAGCCCGGAATCACCGCATTTGAACCTCCGTGGCCACAAAAGGATTTTTATTCATCCTTGTATTTGAACCTGAGACGAAGAATTTACCATAACTTCCTAAAGAACGACTCTATAATTTAACAGGAAAACATTAACGGTGTTACTTTCAGGGACTAAAATTGAGAAATAATGATTATTTGAATCATTAACGAGAAAAAGTAATAAAGTGAAGGACAAAATGTGTAACTTATTCGTATTTTTATATTGTGGGAGACATGCAAGTCACATCTTAGTGTCTTACAGCTGATGGACTGATGTAAAGGAAGGAGAACAATGGAATCCTCTCATCAACGATCGACGATAGTTGGAAGACCGACGATGGAAACTCAAAAGTTATATTTTGGAAGCTTATTCAATCGATAACCATCGTCAAGTTCGAAGAAACCGTGTCGTAGGTTGTCACATCTTTGCTAAAGGGGAAAACCTAATGCGTGCTTGGTTGTTAATCAATAGCAGCAGTAATGATGGTAACAGTTTTTGGAATCATGAACCTAAACCGTTCTTCTTTTCTATATATTCCGATTTTTCACTCACATACAATGGCGTGGCTTTTCATTCATCATCATCGAGCTTCACCTGATAATATTTGGAGCTTGACGTTTTCTGCCTTGAATTTTGGAGGGTTGAAGATTTTGCTGAATTGTAAGAAAATATGACCTTAATTTGAGATCTTTTATCGATGAATTGTGGAAATCAGTCGCATTTTTGTGAATTTGCTTGACCTCTTTGGCTCGTTTCGTTTATGGGCAGTGTTACTAAGTACGAGGAACTGGTCTATTGTTTTTGTCTAATCTGTTGGATGACTGTCTTTGTATTGATTTCTTATAATTAGCTTTCATTTATTCGTCTTTGGTTAGCTGTGGTTTGGTATATATAGTAGGACTAGGACACCACATCAGATAGCTGATACTGGTTTTGTTTCCTTGTTAGCTTATTATATCAAGCCATTGCTATAAATAAGAACCCATCATGCTTGACTATTTATGTTGATCTTCAACTTATCACCTTCATTAGGCATCGATTAAGTGGCGGGAGTTTTGTTATGTTTTAGTGGAACAATTGAGCTATTTATGAGAAAAGCTCTTTTGGCCTGTTTCTATATATGGTCCTATTGTTTCTGCATCCAATATGATTTCAGATCTTGTTGTTTATGAGGAACATCCAATTCATGAATACAAGACGATGGCTCTTTTGCAGGTAAAGTTCTTTGACTGTACACAGATTCTATTAACTGCATAATGGATTGGCTTAGCAGAATTTTTGAAAGCACTACCCGTGAAGCATCAGAAAGGCGATATAATGGCAGATATGGAGAGAATACATCGTCAATCAGAACTTATCCCCCTACATCATGGGTAATAATTAGATAATTTCTTGTCACCTATATGCAGTCACTTGGGGGACTTAGTATTTCATCATTATGATATTTCCCTTTTTTTGGCAACTGATTGATATGTATGATGTTACATCTGCCAACTCCAAACTTGAGACCTTTTTGTTTATATTTGACATTGCCAACCATAATTAATCGTACCTTGTTGTTGGTAAACCGTTTGTAGGCTTCACAGCCAGAGATCGAAGATATTGACCGGGCAATTGCAGTATCACTTGCAGAAGAAGGAAAAGGGAAACATATGATCAGTAAGTGATACAATCACCTATTCATGATAAACATTTGTGAAACTATAGATTCTTCTTGGCCATATTATCTTGTACTATTATCTACCATGAAAGGTGGAATTGGACTCGAAAGTTCTATGTAAAGCGGAATTATGTAAACAGAGTTACTTGATTACTTTATTGCATTTGACCATGTTCTTAAATTTTTTGCACTCATTCTCAGGTTGATATTGTTAAAGTCACACCTATGTGTAATTTACAGTTCTTTCATTGAGCCGAGGTGACAATGTTACTTTCTAATCACAATTTATCTTTTGAAGATTATTATTTTCACCTAAGCTCAATAAATGTCCCTAGTTAGATTTTTTTGTAATTGTAGATCTTTGTCATAATCTTAGAATTTTGTGCTTTTTATGAAGCTAGTTCAAAATTATTAGTCAAGGCTGTACACATGTATCTATAAAATGGCTTGACTTGCTGCTGTATGGTTTTGAAACAAATTGAACATCATGTTGCAATTGATATCGAACAGGTTCATTGCAATTAAATCACACAGCATAAATGATGATTTTAAGATCACATACTTTTTGATGAAGATAAGAAAGATGGTATTTCAGGAATTTGACTTACTAGTCCATGCCTTCCAAGTAAATTAGAAGGGATCTTTGATATAGCAGTGTATGTAACTTCTCTGACAATTGTAATGAACAGCAATTGCTTTAACTCTACTAATTAAAATGCCATCAACCATACCTAAAACTGAAATCTGCTGGTCAGATGATGATTCCCAATTGAAAGAAGATGAATATCTTGCAAGGGCTCTACAAGAAAGTCTGAAAGTTGGGCCTCCACCCCGGAATAGAAATGTGAATCAAAATGGAAATGTTCGCCAACCTATGTCATTCCCATATTCAACAGGATTTAGGTAAGTGCTTTGCTTTTCTTAACTACAATAATTTAGTCATTTTTTTATAGATTCTTGCTTTTGATTTTCAACATGCAGTTTTGCTGTATTTTTTTTGTCCTTGGAGAAAAAGATACTATACTGATGGTGGATCATAAATGATCCAATTGAGGATACAATTTATAGGATGCAAGACGCCATCCCAAAATTACATTGGCCTTGTGAACAAGTTGACTCAAAAAATAATGACGACGTTGAACATGAAATAAACTGCTAGCTGCAAACCCAAAACAGCAACCTGTGAACTAGCAAACTGAAATTGAGACTTGAAACTTCAACTTGCAAACCCAAACATAATCTGTGAACTAGAAAACTGAAACAAAGGCTTGAACTTGAACTTGAAAATGTCAACCTTCCATCTATCTTGCACATTCTGCTGCATTTTTATACAGCTGATCTTTATCACACGGTTCTGAGATGGGTTGTATACTAGATCTCAAAATTTTAAGGTGAAGACTGAGAATAACCCCTCAACTTGAATCCTTGGGCATCTTGACATTAATTTAACCACCGTAAATCTAGAAAGTTCTTTTTGTTTTGTCTATATGTAAGCTTTTTGCACAATGATACTTGCCGCAAATTATCTTTTATTTATTGCACACTGATACTTATTGTTATCATGCAAGAAATACTATATATGGCCCTTAGTTTATGAGGATTTGTTTTGGTTATTCGTTTCTACCACCCCCAAACAGCAAAAGGAAAAGAACCAATGTTAAGGTCCTTAACAGCACGAATATGTGTTTGGGTGCTAGTGTTGTTCTTCATATTGTGTGTAGAATGATGCCCTGAGAAGGGGCTTTTTGGTGACAGTGGCAGTAATTATCCTAAAAATAAATATAAAAGATAGTAACTATCTTCAATAGTAAATCTAAAAACTAACAAATACAACTAATACTATCCTAACAATAAAGTTCAAAAATAAACAAATAACAACGAATAATTACCACAGATTGATATATAAAATCTCTATTACTGTCCATGCCTCAATCTTTCTCCTTTGGGAGTAAGGAATAAACTCCTCGTAGAGTTTTAAGTTGATGGAGAGTGATAAACCATGAAAGCTAATGCATCACTTGGAGCTTCCAATTTCTTTTTTCACTAAGTGCACAATCCACAACATGATAACAAGCTTCCAAACTATTTGGGGTAGGCTAAAGAAGAAATAAAAAGAAAATATAAAATGGTGAAGACTAAATTGCATACTCATTTAATTTGAAAAATGTACCTTTAGTCATTTTCAGTGATAATTGTGCATATAAAATGTTCATCATATTTCATCACTTGTATTTTTTTCTCCCTTTTTGTAGGATATGTGCTGGTTGCAATTCCGCAATTGGTCATGGACCAATTTTGAGTTGCATGGGTGCTGTTTGGCATCCAAAATGTTTGAGATGCCATGCATGTAACCTACCGATTGCTGAATACGAGGTACTAAACCGATGTGTATTGACTGCCATGAAATATAGCTGGGAATTTCTTTTCTGATGCATACAGCCTTACTACATTTTTATTTCATCAAACTAACGGTGTGGTGGCATATGAAAATCTCTTAGGTTTAATAATAGACATAGATTTGCAACGCTCAATGTGCTGAAAGAGGGGTGTGGGTTTTTGTTAATCTAGTTGATGTTTGTCTTTATAAGGTTAATGATACTTTGCGTCTCTTTATTTATCATGTAGTTTTCAATGTCTGGAAATTATGCCTATCACAAGTCATGCTACAAGGAACGACGTCATCCGCGATGTGATGTTTGCCAGCACTTTGTAAGTATTGCTTTTCAGTTATAATGAGACCATTCCCTTATCTTTTACATGATAAGCCTCTTTCAAAATTAACCTGCATTTTTATTTTCTATCTAAATATAAGAATGGAGAACTGGGCATTTTTTATAATTGTTGGAAGCCTTAACAGCTTGCAATTTTAGAGTTGAGAAGCTGAAACCAATATAGCCATTGGTAATTTTAATAATCTGATGTTGCCTATTCACATTCAATTTGATTTCAGATTCCATTTTATGTTTCCTCTATGTTAGATTTTACTTCTCAGCTGATAGTTCGAATGTATGCACTGCCTTTTACAGATTCGAACAAATGCTGCTGGTTTTATCGAATACAAGACACATCCTTTCTGGGCTCAGAAATACTGCCCGTTCCATGAAAGTGATGGGACTCCTAGGTGTTGTAGCTGTGAACGAATGGAGGTGGGTTTAATTAATATCAAATTACATTTGGTTCAAACCTGTATTATCTATGCAATTCTTGGATACAATAAGCGGACGCTGCCATTTTCAGCCAAGGGAAACAAGATATGCTGCTCTTAATGATGGTCGAAAACTGTGCCTGGAGTGTCTTGATTCAGCAGTCATGGATACTACCGAGTGTCAACCCCTCTATTTTGATATACAACAATTTTATGAAGGTTTGGATATGAAGTTGGAACAGAAGGTACCTTTACTTTTGGTTGAAAGGCAAGCACTTAACGAGGCCATGAATGGGGAGAGGAGTGTAAGCAAAATATCCTTAATCTGTATGTATTTTTAAGGGAAAGTTTCTGCTTCCTGTTTTTCATTTTCCATTTTTTCATCAGGGCCATTACCACATGCCCGAGACCAGAGGACTTTGCCTTTCCGAGGAACAAACTGTCAGCACAGTAAGAATTTCTAAAGCTGAATGATTCTTTCCCAGATTTTAGGAATGATGTTATAAGGTTTGTTTAATGTTGTGTTGGCAGGTATTGAGGCAACCAAGAATTGGGATAGGAAATCGGATCCCAAATATGAGAATAGAGCCATATAAACTGACCGGCCACTGCGAAGTTACAGCCATTCTGATTTTATATGGCCTTCCAAGGTATTTTTTGTTGCCTCCTGGATATTCTTATCCACAGTTCTCAGCAGTTGCATCATATACCTGCAGGATTTTTGTTTTTATAACTTGAAACAATATCCATGAGGGGTTATTAGCTAAATAACCTCCTGATAAGTGCTTTTAAATCCACGACCTTCTGACAGGTTTCTAGGCATTCTTCTATTAAGCCGTGACATTCGCAAACCTGGCAGAAGGTCATTTAACCAAAGGACCCAATTTACAAGTACTAAATAACTCACTGCATACAGGTTGCTTACTGGATCAATCTTAGCTCATGAAATGATGCATGCGTGGCTACGGCTTAAAGGTTTGGCCACAACTCTTTGTGCAACTGCGCAAAAACCAGACAAATTGTATCATTTTGTTTGGATTCGTTACAAATCATTATAGAGACATATCTAGTCAATTAACCAATCTCTTTTTCTCCTTTTCTTTCCCTTGAAGGCTACCGAACTCTGAGGCAAGATGTTGAAGAAGGAATCTGTCAGGTTCTAGCTCACATGTGGTTAACATCCCAGATAGCATCCATATCATCAAGGCAAGGGAAAAGGTCTCCGTCAGAGAAGAAACTTGCAGAGTTCTTCAAACACCAGATCGAATCTGATCAGTCCCAGGTGTATGGAAATGGTTTCAGAGCTGGCAATCAGGCCGTGCTTAAATATGGCCTTCAAAAGACCTTGTACCACATACGATTGACAGGGAACTTTCCTTTCTGAATGAGCCTTGCAATCGTTTGTTATAGCGTAGTTTACTCTATTCATTATGAATGCTTTTTATGCAAGCATACCATGATTAATTACATACTTACATTCAAGCTATATGCCTTTATAACCGCGCTATGTAATATATTTCCATATTAGTAAACTCCCATAATCTTCCATTTCATTTTATTGATTACAATCTTATCTCAAATTTATGGTAAAAGATAATATGTTCTTTTCCTTTCTTCCTTTACTTTTTTCTAGCTAACAGTTACATTACAGCCTAATCATCAGAGGCAATCATTGCTACGGTGCATTTGGTATGCAGACGGGACTGAACATGACTGGACGAGTGAGAGTAAGGTAGGGGGTGAAAGACGTGTGGAAGGTTTTTTTTGACACCGGTAGTTTAGTAATTTACCAATTTTGACCCATCACCCTGATTTTTGTTCCACCTATTTTGTCAGGACAAAAAAAGTGCATTTTTGTTTCACTCAAGATCTGTTCTGTCCCAGTCTAATGTCATGCTAAACGACGGACAACAAGTTTTTGTCCCGTCCTGTCCTGTTCTGTCTTGCCCACGTACCAAACGAGCTATCTGTAAATCAACTTGAATTTTAACCAAAGAAGAGACTACCTCATCCATGGTTGGTCTGCTTGCTGGATCTTGTTTCACACAGGTTAGACTTAATTTCACCATTTGCATTGCATACTCCATGCTTCCATTTTCTTCATTTGCTAAATCAGTAATGCTTCTAAGCTCAGTTTCTGCATTTTTTCCCTCCATGATTGTAGCAATTGCTGTTGAAAGCAATACCTCATGACCTCCCTCTCTAACCACAGCTTCTTTCCCAGATACCAGCTCCATCATCACAACTCCGAACGAATAAACATCAACTTTCGAAGTGACACAACCATTTCCGACATACTCGGGAGCCATAAACCCTCTGGTACCCATAATTGTGCTGAGGGCACTAATGTCATTTCCGTTGTTTGTCGTTCTTGCAAGACTGAAATTCGAAATCTTTGCTCTCAGGTTGCTGTCAAGTAGTATATTGCTGCTGTTGATGTTCTTGTGGACATACCCTGGCTTAGTGAAGTTATGAAGATATTGAAGTCCATGAGCAACATCCATCGCAATCTGGACCCGCGTACACAAGCCATGAGTTTCTTCTGATCTTTGCCTGCCAAGCCACTCTCGGAGGGAACCCATTGTCATATATTCGAAAACAAGGTATGACGAATCTTTATGCGTGCAAAATCCATATAGTTTCAAAAGATTGAAGTGGTAAATTTTGCTCAGCATGTTCACTTGCTTGGATACGTCAATCCCCATCTTTTTAACAGCTATAATCTGGTTCCCAAACACTCCCCGATACACGGAACCCTTAATCCTGCACTTTGGACCAAAGTTTTTCGTAGCTTTCTGTAGTTCCCGAAAGCTAAAAACTTTGATGATCTTCTCAAAGCTCGCGATTTCGACGAGGAGATCCTCCGGCGATATCATCATTTCTTCATTCTTTTCTGCCTGCCCTTTTCTCCTCCTGTAAACCACTCCTAACACGGTAACTAGAAACGCCATAAAAACTAGAAACGAGCACGCTGCTGCAATTCCAACTGTTAACGGTTTCTTTTTGTTTGATCCCTTTGCAGAAGACACCGAGGTTTCTGGCATGTAACGTTGGATTATGGTCTGGGCACTCGAAGGTTCTGCTCGTAGAGGAATCAATAACGTAGTAAAAGGGAATATCGTGCTCGTTTCAGAAAGCCCGTTTGCTTTTAGCACACTTTCTGCAGTTACGTTAAACCTCTGAGCAAGGTCACGAACAGAATCACCATAACCGATCGGGTACGTCGCTAAATACTTGACGCCACTTACGACTTGATCTTTCATAGGACAAGCGCAACGAAGCGGGATTTTCAGCTTGAACCCGTCTTCCAACTTGAACTCGTTAAAACGATTCGCGTGTTTCAACAACCCGCACGTCGACAGGCCCTGGAATGTGCCGTTTGCTATGACAAAATATGTTTTCGCTTGTGTTGTAATATGGAAAGTGGTGTTGGCTTGGTAATAGTGGTCCGAGCAGGAACAGTTGACGCGAATGAAAACGTGTTTTTCGGGTGGCAAAACGGCCGTTTCCGATACGTTGTTGATTCGGGCAAGGTGGCGGGGGTTGGCGGACATGAGGGCGGCGATGGCCGTGACGGTGGTGTAGGGTGGTTGGGGCTTGAAAATGAGAAAGGAGTGGCAAGAAGAGAGGAGGCCATTGCAAGTGTAGAGGAATGAATCAGTGGGTTGGCATGAAAACAACTCATTTGCTGAGTATTGTTGTTGGGATTTGATAGATGGAGAGTGAAAGCAAAGGAACATGAAGAAATCAAACACAACCCAGTTTGTAATTTTCATTTTTCTTTTATTTTTTAGGAAGAAAAATGGAATGAAAATGTTGTGAATGGGTGGTGAAGAGCATTGATTTAAGCCTTTGGGATCATTATTTATAGAATCGGAGAATTATTGGTGTGACAAGGGGCAAGAAAACAACAGGAAATTATTTATTATTTTCTTTTTCTTTTTTCAAAATTTGAAAACTCTTTTGAAGATAAAGTTGTAATAATTTGTATATATAGATCGAAGTGGAAACGAGAAAGGTAACCAAATAAGATAGATGGAGGTTTATATGAGAACAATAACTAAATATAAAAATATCAAATAATATGTAAAATTACATATGATTTTACACCAAACTTAAGGGTGGTCAATAAGGGTGTACAGGTGAGCGGAGCCGGGATTTATGTTAGAGATTAAGAACAAATGTAGGGTTGCTAACATGAAATGGATTTCAATTATATATATATATATATATAAGAGAGAGAGAGAGAGAGAGAGGTGAGTACGTGAGAGTTTGAGACACTTGTGTTTTGAGCCTTTATTTTTTAGCCTGTGAGAGTCTAATATGTTGATGGTTGACGGTTAGTTATTGGATGTTGGACCATATAAACAATTTGAAAATAAAAACTTCAGGGTGGGCTAGTGCTAGCTCCGCTCATGCAGGTGCATGACGCACTATTATAGGTCACTGCTAAAGTTGGATGAATCGTGTGTGATTTTAACGTAAAAGCATATAATTTGATTGTTTTTTTATTCTTTTATTTGGTCATTGTTTTTGTATGAATTTAATTATCTCTTTATATATTACATGTGATTTGATTGTTTTCATGTTTTTTTATTTTGATCATATTCTCAGTTGACTCCCCTTCTCTCTCTCTTTTTACACACACACACGCGCGCGCACACACACACACACACACACACACATATATATATATATATATATATATATAGACACACACACACTATAAGGGCATATTTGGTTTTGAACCTGAAAACCACCAAGAACACATATGTTCATATTTTATCATGAATGTTACAAAATATTTACATCAATTATTCACAATGAACATGCGTTTTTTATGTTTCCTTGATCACAACTAGGGGGTGTTTGGATTGTTTATTTAAAGTGTTTTTTGACTTATTCCGGTGTGGTACCGGTAATAAACATTTTTTAGTATTTGGATGGGGAAAAAAAGAGAATGTTTATACCGGTGCCAAATTGGTAATAAAAAGTTTTTGATAAGTTACTCTCTTCTAATTTATCAGAAACAACTTATCAGATTTGAAAACCAAATTACCTTTTTAACCCTAATAAATCTTTTCTCCTACGATGACAATCCTATCCTCTGGTGAAGCTCCATTCCGTTCTCCAGCCTCATCGCCGCCCCATCCATTATCCGACCACATCGGCGCCCGATTCCATTCTCCAGCCACATCGGCCCCCCGTTCGAATTCCGGGCTTTTTTTTTCTTTCCCTAAAGTGACCCTCTATATAAGCAAAATCACAGGGACGATCTTTTTGGTCATTTGACATGTATAAGAAAAATTTGTCAAATATTAAAAAAAATTTATCAACTTATTACGTTTTGGTATTGCCATAAGCTAATCCAAACACTTTTTTTATAAAATCTAGTTTGACCCCACGTAAATTGATAAACACTTTTACAAAAAAAACATAATAAGTTGTTTTAAATAAGCAATTCCAAACACCCTCTAAAGTGTCGTTGTCAACACCGAAGTTTCCCCTTTCTGTCCTTATAAACTTAATAATAAAAGATGATCGTGTCATAAATTATAATCAACTTATAATCATTGTTTAATATCTATTTGTCTTTCGAATTTTTGAATCGGTCCATTGGGCTTGACCGGGTTAATTTATCCACACGTAACGGTCTTTTATTTTTTATTTTATTTTAGTTTATTTATTTTTATTAAATATACTTATATTAAAGTTTTTCTATAATTAAATAATGTTTTTTAAATATAAAATCCGATAATAAATTATGGATTTTAAATTGGTGATAAAATTAATAACGAGATTGATGAGAAATCAATCAAATCTTTAATTTAAAATTTGTAGTTAACGTCTTAAGTACGTTGTATGAGTTTATTAAAGACAACATGATTCTTAAACTTGTATTGTTTTTTACAAACAGTAAATGTTAACGACACAATCAACTCGAAACTTTCGGTTACAAGTATGGTTAAAAAAGTAGAATAAACGGCAAATCAAAAAAAATAGATTGGATTGTTTTTATTGACCAAATACTTTGATCCTTACAACAATATTAGTTACGCTTATTTGTCGGGTGTAATCGAATTCAGGGGCCGTTTACCAAACACTTACATGGGTAAGTGTTTACCATGTCATGTTACCTCACTGGATGAATATGGTAAGGATCAAGAATCTTACCCGGTAAGAGCGAAACAAGAACCATGAATCTTACTCGGTAAGTGAAGGCGACGACTCTTACCACGATAAACATTTACCAGGTAAAATGTTGCATACGATGCCGTTTTGGTGGACTAAAATCTTACCCGGTAAATAAATAATAGTGTTAGATTTTACCGGTAAGCACTTACCAGGTAAGTGTTTGGTAAACGGGCCCGTAACAAATTGATGTCAACATTAAAGAGATTTAATTAATAAAAAATGTTTTTGAACCAAAGCTTAAGTCATCAATTATCAGGTATTTTTATCTGTAACAAACCATTTTAATTGAATAAAATGATATAATTACAAAGAAAAATATTGAAATAAAAAGAGCAAGAGAATCACTTTTTTTTGAGTTGACAAAATGGACGGGTAATTTCAGGTTGTACAACAGGTTTTCTAAACTTTTTCATTTGACATATCATTTCTACAATCTGTTCCCGACTATAAAATCACATTATGAAACAAGCTAGTTATAACTACTAGAAAGTGAGTTTCAGCAATGCGCCTTTAGCGACGACATATTTCAGCAAGAAGCTATTGCTACGACATGTTGTCTCTATAACCTGTTTTCTGGTGATAAATTGACTTTAAGCGACGATAAAAGTCGTTACTAAAACCCATGTTTCTTGTGGCTGGAAAGCGAACATGTTCGTTTGGAAGGCACTTCGTAACAAATTATCGGTTCTTCAAGATCTCAACAAAAGAGGAATTGATCTCGATCCAATGCTTTGCCTGTTTTTGTAGAGATCATGCTGAATCAACTGATCGTTATCTACTTGGTTGCAAGGTCCCTTCATTGTATTGGAACAACATCTTTAAATGGTGGAATATCAACTTCATTCTGCCTTTTCCAATTCTGAGTCGTTTATTTACGATGGTATGAGGCAAATTGCAGGACCATTGAAGGGTGTGTGACAAGCGGTTCCGTGGATTGAGATTTGAGACTTATTCTCTTTGGAAATTCATACACGTTTGTATCTTCAAGAGGGTAAATTCTTGTGGCGATCTTTTCAGTGACAACCAGTTTCAGTCCTTTTTGATTGCTTTCAAGCTCAAAAGTCAGTCTATTTCGAAGATGGTATAGTTCATGTTACCTTCTTTTACTGCTTCTTGAGGTTCTGTTGTTGTTTTCTCAGTTTTGGCCACTTGTTTTTGCTTCTTGGGCTTTATTCATTTCCTCTTTGGTATCTGTTCCTCCTAGATTTCCTTAGTCAGGACTGCTTTTTGCTTTTTTATTTAATGTTATCCCGTCTTTTCAAAAAAAACAATCAAGAAATCAAAAGATATAACAAAAAGAACACTTGCACCCAACAACTATAACTATAACTTATAATATGAATTCATGGGTAGACAAATTGACAACGATATCTGGTTTAACGGGTATCTTTAAATTTGTTAGTGTTATTACTTTTGTTTTGAATAATTTTAATGTTTTATTAAATTTATGTATATAAAATGTGATGAATTTAACTTAATCCATCAAAAAGATCCTAAGAATCTTATGGATTATCTAGAAATGGTCAAAGCTTCCAAAAATAAATAAATAAATAAATATTATAATGATTTTATACTTTAGTGGTTATGTTGTGTTTTATAGATACAATTGAATCGGTCAAACAAGACATTTTGGATGCGATTATTGTAGCTAATTTTTAACAAATCAATTAATCCATAAAAAATAAAAATAAATCCCATGATTAGATAATAAGATTGTGACCACAAGGAAACTGCCTGATTGGTTTGAGCTTGACTCCAAAGGTTAAAAGTGTTAGGAGGTCCCAAGTTCAAATCCAAGGAGGAACAAAAATCTCCTTGTGGCCATGGAGGTTCAAATGCGGCGACTCCGGGCTACGTGCAAAGCAGATGGTCGTCCTGAGATTAGTCGGCTCGTATAGTGGGTTGGATATCCAGGTTAATAAAAAAAATTGTGTAGCTAGGCAATCAATTGGCATTAATTCATTTTCTAAAATGTAAATATAATTCGTGTTTATTTTGTGAAGAAATCCTGTAGTTTTTTTGTTTGTGAAAGACATATCAAACCTTTTAAGGAAAAACACGTTTACCAAACATCAAAAAATAAGTCGGCCTGGTTAGGAGCATTGGTCCCAGAGAAAGTGTAACACACCTAGGCCAAAGTCAAGTAAGAACGAGTCCTCTAAGAAAGAGAGTATCGAATAGAAGATTTGCAGGATAAGTAGTCTTACGCCATGATGGAAGTGTCGGTTGTATGATAGAGACACACATAACAACCATGTCGTGGAGGGTCAAGATAAGAGATCGATGATGGTTCTATAGGGATATGTAACAGTACTGAGGATTGGTAAACAAAAGCTAAATACAAAGAGAGAAATATCCATATATGTTAAGTTACTTAGGGGCCGTTCACTAAACGCTTACTCGGGTAAGTGAACACAAAGTCACATTACGTTACCGGATGAACATGGTAAGAACCAAAAATCTTACCCGGTAAGAGCGAGACAAGGACCAAGAGTCTTACCCGGTAGATGAGGGCGACGACTCTTACCACAGTAAGCGCGACGACTCTTACCACGGTAAGCACTTACCGGGTAAATTGTTG